ATATAATATAAGCTCTGGCGGACTTGGTTCTATGGTAGGTATTAAAGGGTTAACGGTGATGCTTAAAGCGGTTTGCATTCACCTGGCTCGCACTTGCATTCCTGCTCCTTTTTTGCAGGTGGTCTCATCACTGCCTCTATCAGTATGCCCCCCCCTCTTACCATCTTTTACATCTTTCTGTTGTATCTGAACTGCAGGTGTCTGTCCGAAAAAGCCCAGATTCCTCGTTTCGCTCGGAGAAGGTGATGAAGAAGGGATACGACAAGGTAGGAAGGGTAAATCAAACTTTTTATGCCTAAACCTCACACACACACGAGGCTTTTAGACAGCATTCGGGGGCCACATTAATGGATTCAAGATGCAGTAATGACCAGTAAATTCATCCAGCTATGCAGACAGACTCTGGCCTTTGAACCCATAAACACATCTTTCTTCTTTCTTCGATGATTAAAGTCATGTTTAGGTAGTGTTTGGTAAACTGATCTTTATTTTGTTGGAAGAGTCCAAAACTTCAGTCCCTCTAAACATGTTATGGTGTCAATCAAAGAGAAATCCATGTCCAGCACCAACAGATTATTAATGTTTTTGTCTCTTTGAGTTACTAACTTCACGATGTTGATCAGACTCAGTTTTTCTCATGATTGTAGTTATTTATTTATTACCCCGGCTGCTGTATCTTTGTGCTTCTTACACCGCTGAAGATTTGGGACCAGATCTTCCAGATGTTGCTACGTGAAGTATGAGAGTCTAAAACCTGCAAATGCTGCATTTAAAAGCCCCCAAAATCTGGAGAACACATGCGACCCTTTATAGATTCCCCCGTGAAGATTTATTGGCTGAGGTGGTGACTGAACCCCCATCAGCACCTCGTTTAGACTAAACGTCTAAAAGCAGAAGAGATTCTTTGTTCCTGCTGTTACCTCCTGCTGGGATTGATTACCACGAAGCTAAGACGGAACATACTGATCGGTTGATAACGACAGAACTGATGCGTCTAGTCTCTGAATCAGTTTAGAGTTCCCAGTTTTCCCAGATGGTTCGTCTCGTGTATTTCATGCATGTGTCCTTTATCTCCCCGATGTAGAAGAAAAATCTCTCTAGAGTCACAATTTTGTGCTGACAGAG